TTGTTTTTGTCTGCTTTCCAACTAACTTAGTGCGTATTTATATCCAGTCATTTGCTGCAATGTTCATGTAAAGCGTAGAAAAATGTGCGGAATTTTTCAATTATCAACAAAAACAGTTTATTTATGAACAAAGTTAAATGATTTCAATTATAAATATGTCATGAAAAAAACAACATTGTCAATAAAAATCCTGATATTCAATTAAATTCGACGCAATTTGGTTTTCTTAACAGACAGATATAATAAATTTATGAAATTTGGGTTTCTTATTACGTAATACCATATCTAAAGAGTAAGATCAACATCCAAGTCAAATTGCGCGGGTATATCGGATATATGAAATATTTTTTTTTGGTCTAAATTGGTAGCACAGTGTCATTAGTGTTTTGGTTGCGCTTGGCTTTATGCGACGCAAAGAGTATTTTTCCCGGTTCCTACCATGTTTGATGTTATTGAACACGGGAGTGTATTATATTTTGGTATGCGAAATATCTGGGATGTTGTCGAGAGACTTTGACTTCACCGAAAAGATATGTTTACAAGTCTAATAAAAATTTGAAAGAAGGCCGAGAACGAGTTGAGCAGTCCCGGAAGATCTTCAATTTCTAGCTATGAAAGTCACGTCAAATAAATCAAAGATTCGATGATTTCAAAACCGTCGACTCACAATTGGGGATCTCGGTGGTGTTATTGGTACGTCGGATCGATCAGTCTACAACACTTTAAGAGATAATTTGGTCCGAAAACGCGTCAAATATCGGTTGGCATCAAAAACGCATGAGTTCTGCGAGATCATTTCGTTAAAAACTCAACCCATAACGTTCCGCAACCGCCGTATTCACCTCATTCAGCCCCATATGACTTCTGGCCACTTCCTAATCTCAATGTTTTGACCCGCTTGAGAAGATAGAAACTGAATCGCAGAATCTTTTCGGAACTATGCTTAATGTTTCATGTTTTCATGATACCTCCAGTCAAAGAACGCGAAAGTGGGTGTGGAGTTACAATATACACAATATTAGTGAGAAAAGCAGGATTGAAAGTATTATTGAAAGACGAATCAATGTTAACGCGCATATGACACGATCGCTCGACGTATGGCAGTGTTAAAGAGACCGTTGCAGCCATAAAGATCGAGCTGAGAAGAGCGGAAGAGAGCCCGCTGTAGACCAAGGCCAATGACTTCAGGCAGACGAATTCAGCTAAGGTTCATACGGTTCTCCCGATGCAACACTTAGCGGTGCTATTAGACGCGTGGGCGGGTTTTAGTGAGTGCAAGTCCTATACCGACTTAGGCTTTAAAAACCTTCCTCCTCCTTAAAAAAAGGGCTTTCCCACACACGCTCACACTCTTGGAAAACCATTCACAACTCTTTGCAAAGCCAAATATTCGTGTTCGTGTCACGGCTTAAGTGCTGCGAGTTAACATCCCCCTCTTCACGCTTTAAAGTACACTGAACGACGACAGTTTTGTAAAGAGCAGATCCTTATAATGTACAAACCCGAATGTTCAAGTTACTTGTAACAAATGTGATGGAAAAATTGAACGCGTTGTATATGTTTTACCCAATTTTAACGGATAGAATTCACTTGCACACATAGTATATATGTTTGCGATTTATTTTAATATATAATACTTGAAATTAGAAAACGTCGTTTCATTAAGTGCACACTGATGCAATAAATGACCTTAAAACGTTTGTTAGAAGTCATTAATCTCAAAATGTTTATTTATTTTTTATTATTTTTGCAAAAAGATAAAAGAAAAATGAATTAAAAATAATATTATCGACTTGTTAAATAAAGCCAACGTGCTTAGAGGAGTGCACTCGTATAAGATAAAAAAATTTAGTGAGAGAGCAACCATCGTTCGTCATAGCAAACAACATTCACAAATCGAATGCAACTGTTTTTTCACCTGAAGCATCTCTAGATTTTTGCAATGGGAAACAACGCCTTTGCCTGCGACAGGATTACTTACATGGACTGAACTAATTTTACATCATTTGATTTTCTTATTGCTTTTGTTTCTTCCCCAAGTTCCCATGCTATATGGAAATTGTCTGAAATTGGGATAAGGAAAAATCTCATGGAAGAAATTTGAAGTTGTAACGACGACAACCACAACGACAATACTTTTTGCATAACTGGAACACTAATATTTCCGATATTCGATAAAGCCGCGCAATTTAATTTGAACATTGGTCTTATTTTTTGGACGCAGTAGTACTTATTTTTAATGACATTCTTATATCATTTGAGAGCAATTGGTAGATGTAACTGTGCAATATCAAAATTTGCTTACACCACTTTTTGCGAATTTCGAGTAGAGGCCTGATCTCTCCAATATAATTATTTTCCCAGATTTCCCTTGACAACAGTGACAAAAACAAATTGAAGACAAAAATTTGTTTGTACAAGCGTGAAGTCATCAGATATACTGCAAGCGTAATTATTGCTGAGTCGAATAGAATTAAAATCAAGTAAACAAATTATACTCGGACGAATTTTTTATGCCCGTCGCCGTTATCCTAACTACGACAAAGCAAAGTAATGGAACTAAACTATCGTGCTTTATAGTATGGAACGGACGAGGCTGACTTTCAAAATAACACATTTTGCCGCATAAGCGCACGGGCGTTGTAGACTTGTCCTTCTAAAAGTTTACGTCACTTCTACTTTTTTTTGCAAGTTTGTAGGCGATGTCTTCATTTTTGCAAATGAAAGAATATGTTTACCTCAGATACTGCACAGCTGGACAGACGAATGGATGGATAGGCGAACACGCAGGCATTCTTACGTGCACTCCAAATTTGAAATCGTCAAAAAATGTATATACTTCATGGAGTTTTTAAGGCTTGTTTATGCGCATTATGAAGGTATTGAAAAAAAATTAAATAGTGATACAATATAAATATTGAATTTTTGCCTTTTTCGCATACGTGCTACAGCATCGGCCATATGACTTCCAATTTTTATGCGTTTGCCTACTGCACTTTATGAGTAATGATCAAAATAAATTCCAATTTTCTCTTCCTTTCGAAACACAGATGTATTCTCAATTGTACATAGTACTGTAGGCGTAGCCTTCGACCGATTTGACTTAGAATGTTTCTGCAAATTTGAAGTCGACAGATTGATTTTTGCTGCCAAAAAATGTTTATAACACAACACAACGGACAGACGGCATATTTTAAAACACTTGAATTTAATGTTGAATTAAATGAATCCACTGCTGGCGACTCCTATCAAGTACAATCGATACAATTGAACGGATTTTAATGGGTAATAGAGTCTGAGTGTTCCAAAAGATACTATCAGGTGCCTTTTCAACATGATACGGCAACCGACCTCACGTTACGTTCGCAGCATTGATTTGCTATCAAAAATGCTGTGTTCACCGAAAAGGATAGATAGATGCTACAGAACCAATTGTATTACTTGCACGAATTTGATGATAGCAATGTGCAATAATTTGCGTTTTCTTTGTGGGGTTTCCTTCAAGTAAGCGAGCATTTTTTCATAAAAACAAATCTATTAGGGCTTATGTGCAAAAATAATGCCTGCGTTATGCGTAAGGCGTGACCCGCGAAATGTTAAATTAAGATTTATACCTGTGCATTTAAACGCAGGTGAACATATCGCTTGAAACGAAACAAAATCATGCTTTTTATATGCTGTGAAAAACAGCCAGAAAAAGGGAAAACTTAAAAGCTAAACAATATGAAAAGTTAAGCAAAGCAATAAAAATGAGCAAAATTAAAAGTTAAGCTGAACTAAACGAATTACAAAAACTATAATTCAAACAAAATTTTGTAGTCATAAATGCTTCGGTAAACAAATGCTAGCCATATAATTTTCTTTTAGCAACGTACGCAAGCTGTTTGTTCAACTGATTTTGCATTACTCTCAACCATGGGCAACGCATAACGCAAGCATTGTGTTTCGCACTTTAATTTTTCATCTGATAGATCTTTACGCACTATGTTAGTAATCTAATAACGTAATGTTGTCTATCGCTTATTTCGTCAAAAAATTCATACATTTATTCACATACGTACAACTTGCGTGCCTACATTCGTATATATACACAAATTAATTGTTGAAGGCAAAGTCATCGGCTGCAGTACTTTAAAGTAATCAGGACTACGATGGCGTAAGTAAGACGATTGTACCTACGTAGAATAAGTTAATGTGAACGGAAAGCGTAAAACGAAACGTCGATGATTACAGTACCTTAAAATAATAACAACTACGATGGCACAAGTAAGATGTTTTTTATGTAGAATAAGATAAGGTAGTAAAAAAAAAAAACAAAGCCTGTGCAAAGTCTGCTGAATAATTTTATATCACATAGCCGCCCTTATCGAAAACTCTGCCGCACTTGAGATTTGAACCCGCCTTGTTAGTCGCTTTCCTTTGCCGACTCGACAGCTCATGCGAATATATGCAACATTACGTGATTCAACAATGTTCTCCTCAATGGATTCTCTGATCAAGTGTTCGGCATCATTCTCCTACACTTTTTTAACAAACAAAAGATAGGAAATCGTAGAGAAAATTGACGTAGGAGAAGACATATCCAAAAGATTTAAAAAAAAGATAGTTAACGAAACTCATGGGAATCTCTTCATTCGAAAAGAATGAGAAGAAAGTAATTGAAAAGAAATTAAATAAGTCTTTGACAGATCAGAGAACGAATATTAATTCATTTACCACCAAACATCACATATATGTAGGGACCAACTTCGGGCAATTTACTATGTCACGTATAAACATGTTCGATATTGAAATGAAATTGTTGAGCTGTAAAACGATAAAATGTACAAAGACTGAGGTCGGCTTTTGTCTACACATTATCCAATCGATCTATTGTCGATGTGCAAAATCCAATTGATTTCGTATGTACATGAAAAGAATCTGGATGTTCTGTCCTGGTGATCTAAAATGCTTTTTGAGAAGTCGACAGAAAATGTTCTTACGTTTAATGTTCTTTTTACCTTAGTTTTTCTTTCAAGACTAATAGGGTAAACTATCATCACATGAAATTCTTTTATAATAGAAACCTTTTTCCTTTAAATTCTGGAATACTTTACGTTATTTCGAATTAACAATTTTCGGTTGTATCACAATTATAAAAATCACCCGACATCGCGTTACACATGCTCATTCATTTTTGCTCAGTTCATCATGCATTTTTCCATGAACGCCATGTGTCATGCATCGCATCAAACAAAAGCTTACTGTCCACCTTTGCTTGTGTACACAAATTACTAACTGAAAATTGCGCGCTCTATAGCTTCTCTTTACTTTTGACTTTTTTTTGTTTGTTTTTGCTTTTACTTAAAACTTGTTTCTTAACGTTAAAATTTGATTTAACGCGGCAAAAATATTTTCCTAATGCAAGTGATATTACTCTATAAAGTTTGTATCTATGCAAGCAATTCTCAAGATATATTCACAATGCATTTTTAAGGTTGCTTCAAGATCAATTGAAAACAAAAATTAAAAAACCTTTACTTTTTATCGTAATTTGTCACATCAAGCAAATTACTCGTGACAATCACTTATAAAAACGTAAACAAGTAATGAAGAGAGTTTCACCTTAAGACGAATTTTAGATGCTTACTACTTAGATGTATATATATCAAAAAGTTAAAATAATAATAATAGATGGGCCTACTAAACGCTTGTAATAAATCTTGACTTAATCTTTACCAAATAAAATGCCTTTAGATGACAATTTGTTAAAAATTAACGCACGGTTTAAGCTTTCTCGATAAACATTTTAACCCCGGTCGGCCAGATGCTGCACACGTTCAGCATTGCAAGCACTCGTTTCAATTTTCACTTTTAACTGATTAATTTGCTTGCAGGAAAAACAAAAGAATTTTATATATAAACCTAATATACTTTAAGAAATCATTTTTAAGATTTTGAGAAGTTGCATGAACTCCGGATTTTACGTTAAGCAAAGCTATACTTCCAAGGCCTTTGATATGATCGTTACAAAGTAAATGGCAAACTAATATGCTTCCCATTAGAAGTGCGTAAAAACTGTTTATTACTTTCAATCATGAAATTTCAAAGTACGTGAAATATTTATCAGTAGTAGGGAAGCAACAGCAAGATTCTTTCCTTTTTTTGGCAGACGTTTCCATAACTAATAAAACAAAGAGTGAAATATTCAAATAAATCATTTCATTTCATGCTAAATTATTTAGATATTTTTGTCTTTTAAACAAGTTTTGGCAACCCTAACACGTAATTAATGACAGAAAAAGGGAGAAAAACAGCAGGCCCAGCTGCCGTATTTGTCAACTTAAGATATGAGGAAAAAATAAACGACTTCCTTTTTTATTAGTTAATTCCTTTTTACTTTTCTTTTTTCCACAATTTCTTTATATGCAGATTTTTTTTCCTGAGAAGTTGAATAACTACAAAGTATTTACCTATATACCGTATGAGGCGTCTGTTAAATCTCTTAATTACGTTGTTGTTTCGTCGCAAAATATTTCGGAGAAAATTATTTTTGTTTTTTTTATAAAACTTGTTAACAGGTTTTTCTTACTTTATACTTATTTTCACACACTTAGCATAAAAAAACACTTGAATTTTTAATTTTTTATTATTCGCGTTATCGATTGCAATGATTTTTTCCGATTTTTAGTTTGTTATAAATAATTTTCTGCAACTACGTTTCATTTGTGAACAATTTCGGAACAACGCAAAGGCAAAATATAGTAGTAATAGTAATAGTAAAATATAATAGGCGCGATTATTTTTTAATTTTACACACACCTTTAATATTCAAAATTTCTAACTAAAGAGAAAAAAGCAACTGAAAAAAATCTAGAAAATGTTTAGATTTAAAAGCAAAATGTTTCGCTCTCTATTTCTTTTTCACTTTTTCAGATACGATAATCAGAAGTTCCTCTCTGAGCAAATAAAATTTTGTAATAAAATGCCAATACTACGATGGTGCCAAGTAAGCCTCTTAAAGTATCCGTTAATTGCAACAGAGAAGATAAATTTGGCTGCATTTTAGAGCTGCCAAGTGCCAAGTACTAAATTATTAAGAATTAAAAAGCAAACTGTCTTGCATGCAATATTTGTTGTAAACCATTGGATACAGCAATAATGTCAGTTATTTCTCCGTAATATTAACTCGAAAGAGGCGAAAAAATCGCTTATGCGTTATTACTTGATAGTTGATAATAATCCCGAAGTGTATCTCTTAATCGGGCACGATATTTCTAAATATGGGATAAATTTTACAAAAAAAAATTATCATGCGATTCCTCGTTAAAAAAACTCTTGAATTTTTTTGCATTCCCTACTAAAACCTCACTCCAGTTTTATTTTATTTTGTTTTTTTTTATTTTAAAACTTAAAATTTGTTTACAGTACACAGGAATTATATAAATTAAGATAGGGAGAGATGTATGTCTTTATCCGAGAATACTCGAAATAAAAATAAAAACTAATCTTTTTAAAAGAATTTCGCATTAAAATAGTGATTTGGAAATGAAATTACAACTAAATATTAAAAAAAAGGGCTATATGTATATAATTTACAAAAGTGTTTTTTTTTTTCAAGAAATCACTACAATTAATTACTACTTAAGAATTATTTTCTTTTACATTTCCTTCTTTCACTACAGCCTATTTTGAGAAAATTACAGAAAACTAAATCTTTATGAAATTATAAATCCAGGATGTGAATCTAAACTTTTTTCAATCCCGTTTGTTGTTACAGTTTCAACTGATTCGAAGGACTGTTTATTTTTTTTCTTTTTTGTTTTTTGAGTCAAAAAGACTGTTTTGATTCTTTGCTAAGTAAAAGCTCACGAAACGATACAACTGCTTTTTTCCTGAGGATTCCCATTTTCATTTTCAATTAACATTAATAAATGATGGAAAATGTCAGCTACAGACTAAGAGATAATAAAAAATAATTAATTTTGATTATTGGCCATGGAAAAGCATCCTCGACAAACCTCATTTTGTTTAGCCGAAGTTTCTAAAAATGCAGCACGCCATGATTCAGCTAATTTACGCCCCTCGGCTGTTGATACAGTACGTTCTTGATGTAAATCAGTTTTATTACCTACCAATACTACAGGTACACTAGATGGTTACGATAATAATTATATAAATTTTTTTGAATTTGATATCGAAATTTGATGCTTACTATTTTTTGCAAATAACTTCCAATAGTTTTTCATAAATAATTTTAATAACTTCAAATGATTTCTGACTGGTTATTGAGTAAACCAATACATAACCATGAAAATCCATACTATATTGTACAGGGAATATACTATATTCATCTTGTCCAGCAGTATCCACCAATTTTACACTATAATCTTGGGAATTAACACGAGTAACTTTCGTAAATGCTGAAAACGAGAATGAAATATAATAAGCGATGAATCAAATTTATACATAGTAATGAAGGAATTCACGAAATTCACTTATTCGCTTCTCTTCCCCAAATCAAATTTAAAGCAATTTTTTAAAAATATTGTGACTAATGTGATGACTACAAGTACAAATTCGAAGTTTCTATCAACTGTTCCTTTCACTTCTCTTCAATGACTTAACTAAAGCAAACAATTTCCAACGCTTTGAACGAAATACATTCAATAAACAAGTTTATAAGATATTACCGCCAAATTGAATGACTATCTATGCACCTCGATGAGCCCTCTTGTTGGAAATAAGGCTCATTTATATTCAATTTTCAATCATTTTTGCTTATATTCCAGTATCGCTCAGGGTTTATTGGCTTTTCGCCATTTTCACGATTGAAAACGTATGGCAGGAGAAAGTCATTCAATCAAATTTTGTATTCAATGGTTTTGAAGGTACAAATTTTGTCTTTCAATAAGCTCTAAAACTTTGTCATTGAAAGAAATTTTCGGTAAGAAGTGCTCCATTCTTTTGAACGTTGAATTAGTTAAGCAAGTGCGCGCTAAATGATCTCTTTATTTGGGTTATGTCAATCGAAAACACAATTTCGCGTATCTTTCATTTGTAGTAAGTTTGACATCTTATACCAAAAGAAAAAAAAAAGGGGAAGGCATTTTGTTCATGAAAAAACAACAAATAGCCTTGTTGCGAGAAATTATCAGCTAAACTTTGTAACAAATCGAAAGAAAGTTTTACCTTCGGTTCTTTTTCTCATAATTTTGCATTCGTGTTCAGGTGTCATGTGAATCTATTATAAAAAAAATTTGGAATCTATGGCTTCTCGCACACCCGTACCCACAATAACTTTAACAACATCTAAATGACTTCTAATTAATCAACCTTGACCTAAATATTAAGCAATTTATAAAATTGATTTAGTTACTAGTAAAAATGTTTCCATTCAAAAATGTTCTTAATATTATACAGAGTAATTTTTCCTTATAAAAGCAATATAATAATAATAAGGCAAAGTCTATCATCCTTTTGGAATGTTACTTACTATTTTCTATTGTTGGATCATAAGAATCAACGAATTGGCCTTCCACAAATTGTATACTTAGTGAAGATTTTCCTGGAAGTCAGTGAAGAAAAAAAAAGATTTAGTTGAGGGGTTTTCCCAAAGCCAAAAGAAATGACATTCATAAAAAAAAAGAAAATAAAAAAAATAAAACGCAAAACCTTAAAAAAAACACACAACACATACATATAACCAGACACAAATTGAAAGACTTCAATAACATACCCACAGATCTATATCCCATCATAGCAATATTGCGTTCCTTTGGTGGCATATTTTATTTTCTTGTTTAAATAACAATTGTTTTAATTATACAGTATTTATTGTCTCAAACCCGTTTTTAATAATTCTTTCTTTATGAAATTATTACTTTTCCTTTTAAATAACAAAACCTCACCTAAATTCGCAAGTATTTCTTCTTTGCTATTTTACTAAATGTTTACAGTGTTACCATACGTAAGAGTTTATAAAAACAGGAGTTAAAAAATAAAATCAAATTACGACGCAACTTATACTTATAAAAAAATGATAATTCGATTTTACCCTATTTTCAAAAAAAATAATAATTCGATTTTACCCTATTTTCAAACTTATACCTACAGCTCTTCGTAACACGCCGTATCATATTGCTTAGTTGCTTTAGGCTGACTTAAGAAAAACTTTCATTATTTAAACTTTAAAATTATAATTAAGTCCCATTAGTATTCTTGTAAGCAAGAGTTTATGTTGTTGTTCCTTAAGACAAGGAATAGAGAGTTGACCGTGACCATTTTTTTGATAATTTTTAAATAATGGAACAATTAATAATAGCGAGATGTTCCCGATGATATCGTAAAATTTTTTTCCATTCAATCAATTTCAAGGTGATTATTTGTTTTCAAACTAATAACAGTATCGTAATTGTTTTGTCGATTTCTTACTTTTTTCTACTTAACCCATATGTACGAAGTTGATATAATGAAGCTTCGCTTTCTTTTCAAGTCTGGGAATAAGAGTTAAACGTATGGAGAACAATGTAAACGCCACTTATACTGAAAAATTTTTACCAACCTTTGTGGGAATTGACGAGTCATACGGTTTTGTATGTAAACCAATTAGTAAAACAAAAAGAAAGACGAAGAAGTAGGAGTAGAAACAATTTATTTCAAATTTAAAAACTATTTACCTAATTTGCGTTGTTTAGATTCTTTTTTTATATCATTTATCGTTATTGTTCAAAAAGTGGAAGAAGTATTAAAGGCGGTTTATTGATCAATTTTAAAGTTGCATTCCAAACATAACACATCTTTTGCATTTATCCTTATCTTTAAGGAATTATTTCGCTTAACTGACTCAGTGAAATGTCCTTTCCATCTTTTAAACTCATTTTTCTTACTACTACTCCCTCATTTCATTAATTACCCAAGAAATACAAAAATTATTAGCCGTTGTATTATTTTTCTTATTATTTTTCATTTACTGCCTTTTTTTATTTATGTTGATGTCTTTATTTTTTAATTTTTACTGTTCAAATCATTTATTAATTGTTTACATTTCCACTGAATTTCTTATTTTTACGTATCGAATAATGTGGCATTAGTTCATCGTGTTTACCGCTTGAAACTTAATTAACCTAGAAATACAACCGAGCCTCAACCGACTTCACTGCACTTCGGACGTTTAAGGCTTGAGATATCTGGCAAGGAATCGATCGGTTACCTGTTACTAGTACTTGTCTTCCAGCGCTTTATTTATAGTCGGCTACGTGATTATCGCTATTATTATAAGTTCCATCTACCAGTTAAGGTGTATTTATTTGAACCAGTTTTTCTTCCTCTTAAATTTGCCGACTATGTATATACTGTACACAAATTTCAGTTTCTTTAGATATATATATATAGTAATAGATGCCTTCTTCTTTCAATTGCAATTGCTGTTCTTGATTTGGAAATTTTTTTTTTGTTTATTAAAAAAGACTTAGGTGAGTATGATTCTCTATTTTTACAACCATTGAATAAAATAAAATCAATTTTGAACAGAAGTTCTTGATAAATTAATACGTAATATAATTTAATTAATTCTTTTTCACATTTAAATCGCTAAATATTTGTCTCCTGTTTACAATTATATTAGTTTGATGAACCGCTATTTTAGTTTTTTTTCATATAATTTTTTATTATTGTTATCCTTTCACATATTTAAGCCTGACGTCTAAATTTTATTTAGTCTTTGTTTTCCAAATGAATGAATACCGTTTTACTAAGAACAGGCTGCAGGCAAAACTAACAGTATTGATGATATGAGAAATTTTAATTCTTTTTCAATTTCTTCGTATTTGTATACATACACTTATTTACAAATATATGTATATACGTAAACTAAACCTCTTTTATTATAGATGATCATTTTTTATCATTCCAACATCTGAAGGGTATTTTCAGGACGTATCGCTACGCATTAAACATATAAAGAGTTTCTATTTATGATATTTTATTATATATTTTATACACATTTCTGCTACCTTTTTTTCTTTAGTTTCATTCCTTTATTTATTTGTTTTTCTTTTTTGCGCGGATTGCTTGCATTTTTTTATATATATATATGTGTAATTGAACAGCATGAAGAAGATTTTTTGTATCATGGAAAAAATTAATTGTGGTTGATAATGTTATTTAATCCTGTTCTTCCGATGTTATCGCTGTCGCTTTTCCCGCTTTCGCCGCTGCTACTTTCTTTGGTGGTAATATTTGTTGTTTAATGTTGAAAGCCAAAAGCATATGCGTATGCTGTAATTATGTCTTTCAAGATTTTCAGTTGAAGGTGATTGTTATTCTCCATTCTTTTGTTCTGCATCAGCTTCAGACTCTGGAAAGAAATTTTCAAATTTATCAGTCTTATGCTGATAATAATTTGCATTCGGAATTTCACTTTTATAAACGTGTGCAAGTGAATATTGACCAATTTGCACAAATCGTAGGAAAAATTGGGCACCCATATTACGCATGAGGTTGTACATTTTTTTAGCACTAAAAAATACATAATAAACTTATTGCGCATATAAACCAATAAATTTATTTCATCCAGTGCATTACTAGAAGAGAAGATTTCTGAGAAAGCATGTACAAGTGAATATTAGCCACTTTACATAGGTTGTGAAAGAAATTGAGCACCCATATTATACTTGATATTTCTTCAGCACCCACGCACATCATACACACAGAATGTAGCAAGTAAGCAACAGCCCTCTCCTTACAAAACATAACGAACATAAATGAAAAAACCGTTAAAGTCGTTATTTCTCAATCGAATTCGTCGACGAAATTGCCGAACATTGCGTGGAGTTGTTTAATATGTGCGCTAAGATATTAACAAACCAACGATACTATGACTGGGGATTACGAAAGTTGAAAACCATACTTTTGGCTTGCCGAAGGCTTTTCGGGCAAAGGAGAAATTATATCAGCAATATCAGAAATAGCTTTTTCTTAATTAAATTGCTGAATCTAAATGTACATTAAATTGTTACTTCGTAATATTTGCTCACATATAAGCTATGTCCAGAACAATTATTCTTCTATCAACTCGCCATTACTCTACGAATTTCAAGCAATTTAATTAGCATTTCTTTGGGCAGCCGACATTAAGTCTATTGTCCTGAACGCTTTCCCAAAAGCTGTGTTAACCAATCTCCCTAAAATGTTACAAAGTAGTCGCGTCTTTGTCATATAGATGGTATTCAAACATACCCCATTTCTTTAGTCGATATATAAGGTACTGTTCTATGTTGTCTTCTATGAGTCTGAAAATATAAACAAAGCACAAAAAAAAAGGCGGCTACTCATTACATTTTAATATACTACCTGTTCCAAATCCAATTTATAAATTTTTTGAATTTTTTTCTCATTGAACATATTAACATAATTTAAATTTTTTTATTATTTGTTTTGTTTTACATTTAATGAATCATTATCTATTATTAATTTCAGCTCTTCAAGCAATGAAATATAAGCGTCTAGAAACACGTGCAGATTGCCTATATCCAATTTCTCAGAATTGGCTATGTGTTGATAAAATTGTTCGAAAGTCGTTGGTTCGGTTTCATTTTGATTAAAAGATTCGGGTTTCTGCAAATATAATACTAGATAAAAAGTTACAGTTAATAGGCAATATTAAATCAAGTGAAATTCCACCAATACTGGTGGAATGTTTAGTTTCTGGATCATGAAGAGCTACGCCATTATCAAGCAAAACTTTATTAAATATTGACGCTTCTTTGAAATCATTTTCCATTTCGCATTCATACCATAAAACTTGATAAGAATTAATTGGAAAATTTATCCACTTATTGGATTGAATGGAATTTTCTTGTACGGGGCACGCATATAAAAAATCTTTCGTTACTTGATATCGTTTACAAAGGCTATTCCATTGTATACCAGCTAATTTTGCATGTACAGCTTGATATGGTGTAAAATTTACAATTGATTGAGGAGCATAGAAGAAAATAACTCAGTCATAGATGCATAAGACATCAAGATTTATTTTTCACGTTATGTTATAAGCTATAAATTTCCACCGCATTAGCAAATAAACTTAAATTTGAAATTAACTTTAAAAAATGTACTTTAAAAAAATCAAAAAACCGTTGCTGATTCTTTGTGTTCCTCAAGCAATTAGCAGGAAAAAAAAAAACAATTCGAAAAAAAACGAATTCCGCATTAACGCTTTCCCAAACGTAACATGCTTTGAAGCAGTGTCTGAGCACACAAGTGGTTTCTTTTATATAATATTATAATATAAATTAATATATAGATATATAATAATAATTTATTAAAATAAAATATTTTTTTTTTGCTACTTACTTCAGTTGATTCGCTGCTCACTTTTTTTTAAATTTTGTGTTATATACGCATGTGAAAAACTGCCGTTTGTATGAATACTCTTTGGTGGTCGATATCAGAATGATCGAACGTATGGAAAAATGGCGGTTTGCAAAATTTTCACGAATTAGTAGAAACCGTGATGATCTTTCATTGTATGTGTGAAAACACTTGCAGAATTAAAAAGTGTTTTAAGGTATTCGGCAAGAAGGACGATGGCTACCGATGATTCTAAGTGCAAATTGGAAAGTTTTGTTACCTATAATAAAAAAATATTAGGAGCCGGATTAAATTATAAGTGAGCTTAACGGTTGATATATAATTGGGGAGCATACTTCAGCAAATTTCTATTTTAGGGACATAATCAAAAGTCGAAAACTGCCAATCCCGGAAGAGCCAATACTTTTCCTTAAACCGTCAACTTCACTAATACAAGAAGGTCAAAATATAATTGTAAGTTCTGCAATGAATATGCGCTAAATTCTTCACTATGTTAAGTTTTAGATTCCTAAAGTCTTTAGTAAGGTGGCTCATGAAGTGGAATTGGCGTGCGTGATTGGGAGGCGCTGCAGAAACGTTTCCAAAGGGAGTGCCATGCAATTCGTGGGTGGGTACTGTTTAGCTTTGGATATGACAGCCCAGTGTTCGTTGCAAGTCGCCCGAAGTAAAGGCATGCCTTGGTCTCTGGGGAAAGGTTTCGATACATCGACATCGGTTTCCCGATCGTTTCAGTTGCAGCCGCACAGTGTTTTAATTGTTTGTTACGCAATCTTAAGAATTGACCTCTTGTTCAGCTCTCCTCAAAGTAGATACCTTTCTACCTAGCTGATCACCGAGTCCAGAACTTTTTGATTGTTCTAATACTGGCTTTTTTAGTAAATGGATGCGGTAACGGAAGGTGTAAATTTAAAAACCTGTTTTTCAACGAACAGAGAAAGGAGTGTTCACTTACCTTTAACCGCAGATAACGGAGGGAACAAAATTTTCTTCTCATGTTCCTTCCTGCTCTCTGAAATTCCTGAATTAAAAAAATGAATTCGAAGATATTTCCCAGATAAACTGGTTTTCATTTTTTACCTTCAACTACAAAGTTCCGAAAAATGTTTTCTTTTCTTGTTCATGTCTGCTCTCTAAAATGTCCAACTTTATAAATTTTACTACTATTTTAAATTATATTTCTTATTTTGATTAATTAAAAGATACATAATTGTTCCTCAGTAATTTATTGCACAAAACGCACAAGCTAATATTTTTTTTTTTTAATCAATTCAGTAAACCATATATTGTTGAAGAAGAAAAAGATACGTATATTAGTTTTAATGGTTGCCATTGTGCTTTCTATTTTGGATGCAGAAAGTCAATAATTTGATAAACAATATTTATTATGTTCGGGCATTCGATGAATCAAAAGTTTGTTTCGTTAAGGCTTTCAATATTATATTATTTTGTTTATTTATTTATTTAGAAACTACAACAAAATTAAGAAAAGCTAGATGTAATGATAAGTAACAAATTGTACCGGTCTTCTTCTTGCTGCTCATAAATATATTTTACCGGTCTTCAGCGCATTTGGCTGTACACTATATAGAACCTAGACGTTAGATTTAGATTTTTGATATGTTGACTTATTTATTATTTGTTTTTGTTTCTGATATAGTTAGTAGAATTCGTCCCAAATCTATTAAATTAAATAGGAAAGTATAGCGGAGTTCTGGTCATTATTTCGGACGCAGCTTTGTTGATCGTTTACATTGATTTTTTTAAGTTCAACTTTTATTCTTAAGCCTTAAAAAAAAAGCGCAGCTACACCTTTTTAGCGAAAAGGGTGACATTGTTTATTAATACTGCAATTCATTATTTCCTATTCGGGTGGCAATTCTAAAAATTTAATTAATCTGTGGCAGCGTTGTCAGTTTGAAATCTTATTGGTAAAGTTTCTTTCCGTACGTCTTTTCTCCGGCGTTAAGCGAAAATGGCGACAGGAGTAAGTAAGAGCTTGCAAATTTTTATCCGTAAAAATCTTCAACATCCGAATTAAAGCCTTATCAATGAAATCTTCATTTTTAAAATAATTATGAGCTAAACGGTTTTATTCCATACTCTTATTGTAGACTCTTTACACATATCCCGACAACTTCCGTGCTTTTAAGGCTCTGATTGCAGCCCAATACTCTGGAGCTAGTGTAAAATTGGCTGGAAATTTTAAATTTGGTGAGACCAATAAAACGCCAGAATTCCTCAAAAAGTTTCCTAGCGGCAAGGTAAGAATGCAGAAGTATTTTGTATATCTTGTGTTTCAGACGTTCAAGGCGTGTTGTAAACGTCATCATTGAAAATATGAGGTTAGGATTGACTTTTTTTTTTTTTTATATGTTTTAAGGTGCCGGCTTTTGAAACACCGAATGGCCAATACCTGAGCGAATCAAATGCCATCGCTTATTTTGTAGCAAATGAAGAATTGCGTGGTGGCAAGTGCCCTTTTGCCCAAGCTCAGGTGCATCAATGGATGTCGTTTGCCGACAATGAAATTGTCCCAGCCTCTTGTGCCTTGGTATTTCCTTTACTAGGAATTATGCCTCAAAAACGAGGTAGCACTGCCAGACAAGATGTTGAGGAGGTTTTAGCTTTGCTGAACGAGAAACTCTTAAACTGCACTTATTTGGTGGGTGAACGTATTACTTTGGCTGATATTGTCGTATTCTGCAGTTTGCTGCATGTATATCAATATGTAATGGAGCCCAGCGCCCGAAGGCCTTACGAAAATACCAATCGTTGGTTTATGACTTTGCTGAATCAGCCTCAGTTCAAAGCCGTACTTAAGACTTTTAAAGTTTGTGAGCATGCTTTAGTTTTCGATCCCAAAAAATATGCCGAATTCCTAGCCAAAACCGGGCAGGCTGGCGGTGATGCGAAACAACAAAAGCAAGAAAAGAAACCCAAAGAGGAGAAAAAAAAACCTGTTAAAGAAGTAGAGCACGAAGAAATTGAGGAAATGGATGCGACTGAAGAAGCTTTAGCGAGCGAACCTAAATCAAAAGATCCTTTTGAATCCCTACCTAAGGGAAAATTTAATTTTGATGATTTTAAAAAAATTTACTCCAATGAAGACGAGAAAGTTTCTATACCCTATTTTTGGGACAAATTCGATTCGGAGAACTGCTCCATTTGGTTTGGAGAATACAAATACAACGAAGAATTGACCAAAACATTTATGTCTTGCAATCTTATTTCTGGCATGTTCCAGCGGCTTGATAAGATGCGTAAACAGGCTTTTGCCTCAGTGTGCTTATTCGGTGGCGACAATGATAGCACTATCTCCGGAATATGGGTATGGCGTGGTCAAGATTTAGCTTTTACTCTTTCACCTGACTGGCAAGTGGACTACGAAGTTTATGATTGGAAGAAATTGGATCCAAAGTCGGAAGAGACCAAGAAATTAGTTGAACAATATTTCTCTTGGACCGGCACTGATAAGGATGGTCGTAAATTTAATCAAGGCAAAATTTTCAAATAAATTATTTAACATGGGAATCGACAGACATTTTTTCATTTCCCTTACGCCATAAGCATACGTGCTTGTTCTTTTCTTCTAAAAAAAACTATATGGTTTGTAGACTGTCTTTTTCTCTTTTTTTATACATACAAAAAAAAAAAATTAAATATAAAAACCAAGTTTTTGTATAACGAGTTTAAAAAAGATGTCTTCTTCTTTATACCTTTCGCCTTTTTCTTAAAGAAGGGGGAGGGAGGATTGATTTAAAAATAAGCCGAGAAATACTATAAACAACGAATTGCAAATAACTTCGGTGGATTATTATCGATCAATTTTTTTTGTTTATTTGCCAAAACTGCAGAACAATATTTATGGATAAATTAGACACAAAGAAAACAAATTATTGTTACGAACACGATTTATATGACTTTATACTTAGATAGCAAACTAGAAGCTATTAACCGGTTAAATTCCAAACAAATGTGAATTCTGTTTAAAAAAGAAAATGCTTTTTAAAAGCTTTAAAAAAACCTGTACTGACGTTGATCAATTGATTTAGGAGCGTCTTTTAATTACAACAGGACCAACGTTATCACCAGTTTTCTTATTATGTTCGCCATGGCTGCCGTCACAATAGGGCCACTTGGGAGAAATATATAAATAAATATAGATAATTGTTTTTAAATCAAAATTCGCTTACATTTTTTGATTTCCAACAGCGACAAAATGCCGCCTTTTCGGCTATATCTTCGACGTCAATCGTGTCGACAACTTTAGCCTCAGATTTACGTACCGATTGATTGCAACGTCCTGGAGGAGTGCAACCTTTTCTAGCCTCAGGACAATAAGCCAAATAAAAGGTATAACCCAAACCGGCTGCGACAGCTGCGGGAGGCACCAGCGACAGCCAATCAGTAACTGCAAAGAAAAAGGAGATGTTTGTGAATAATTTATAAAATCTTCTATACCGAACTTTGGCTATTTTCAATTGCATTTTCTTTTCGAAAAAAAATAAAAGCTTTTCCTCATTTTATTTCGTCCTTTTTTGCGCCAGTTCATGCTTTAAAACACTTTTGCAAATTTTTTAAGGAACTCGGTTGTGTCCAACGAAGGTGATTATTGACTTATTACCATCATTTGAGGAAAGAAAAAAAAGGCTGGTTTGCTTTGAAGGTCCTCAAATATGGAATTATACGAAGAAAACCTTCAGATTATTTAAAAATAATTGCTAAGCCCATTAAGAAAAGTCTTTAGTAGCTAACAGCAGCGCTGCGCTCGTACAATAACTTGTTCTGATCATATTTTACCTTGATAATTGCAGAATAAACTGCTTTTATTAATATTGAAATGTACTTTTGGAGACTACATTTAGGAAAAAAAAGAAGGATGTCTTTTAATCTTGCATAAATTGACAGAAAGTTAAAAATCTTGTATTATATGTACACTCAAATATAAAGATGAAATTTAATTCAAGTAAAGGATAAATAAAAAGTACATTCAAAAAGTGACTAAACACATAATTCCATATTAAGGTTATTAAAACAAATCATCCCATTAACAAGCAAACAATTTTCATGCTTATTCATATACACATAAACATCGGCAGCAACTCATTTATATGAGAAAACAAAGTTCGATAGAAATCAAATAGATTGCATAATATCTTTTAAAAAATGGATGAATAAAATAATTTCATTAAAACCAAAATTCATTTAAAAAAGCATGTGATATTGAAAAAAAGTAGATATATATATATATATATATAGTAGTAGTAGATATATATATATATATATCTATATATATATATATATATGGTATACGTGTATACGTATATTTTTATAAAATAAGACAAGTTTTCTATTCTTGCTTTCATCATATATCATAAAATTTTTATTTTGCACTTACATGACAATTTAAACCATCCAGTAAAGGTGTCAGGAATAGGTAAACCAGATAAATAATTTGGCAAAGTAGTTTTTATCAAACCAGCCATAGCACCACGTTGATAATTTAGAAAATTTTATATAAAAATTTTTTAAAGTGAAAGGAGAAGAAAAATCTTAGCTAATTAAAAATTGATTTAAGTATAAAACAGCATTTACTTTTGACCTAGACTGACACAAATTGTTATGAGTTTTGTCTTTTACCGACATTTATTAATTGCTTTTATAAAGAAAGAGTTGCCAACTCTTTTCGAATATAAGAAACACATAAAAGAATGTCAATTAAAATATTGGTACTGCCACATAAGATATTTTATATTTGTTCACATTTCAAAGTATTTTTTTTATAACAATTATTTAAGGAAAAGTTATTTAATTATAAGAATATTTAGGGTTTATTATAAAGTTCTATAACATAAAATTGTAAAATTTTAAAATATCGTATTATGTCATAATACACACGCGTTTAATATGTCTGGCAATGTCATAACAAATGAATACTGATTATTCGTATTAGTTAACCGTCTGTGAACATGTTAAAGAGTGTGGCGTTTCGAAAACGAACGAAGTGTTGCGGTCGGTTGTTGAAGAAAATCTTCTTGTTATTTTTAATAATTTAATTAGGCAATAATAAAAAAAAACACAATATTATTCATTAAATATAAAAGTTTAAATAAAGTGCACGTAGCTTTTTAAAGCTTAAGACATTATTTAATGTTTCTGATTTAAAAATTCACTCATAAATAATGTAATGGTAAAAAAAAAACTCGTCTAAAGAAAGCCGTATTAATATGTGAAAAAAAAGAGGTGGAGACGTCGGTAAACGAAGTAAAATAGAGTGAAATAAGCATAGCAATTACCTGAAAAGGTAATAAGCCAAGGATAAGTTTAGTGTGATATATTTCAAATAAAAATTTATAAAATTCATTAAAATATTCTTTCGACTTCTCGTTTTAAATATTATTACACAAAAAGTAATTGGAACTTTTGTTAAAGTGAAATTGAAAAAAACAAGTGCTTTTTGCTCAAAAAAGTGGTGACGCTGGAATAAGGAAGGAATGAGAAGTAAAAAAAAAGAATCTAAGGAACTATTAAGTCTAGAGGAAGAGAGAGAGAAGGAGAATACTTATAATGTTTATGGATGATTGTATTTGCTCAACGTCTTTAATGGTTTTATTTAATCAGCCAGATGTAAAACCAACAATAGTAAAATAACAGCAACAATATCAATCAATAACAATAACTAGATTTAGGAAATTTGAGATTTTCTTTTTTCAATTTTCTTAAATGAAATCTTAGGTAAATCAGCACTTGACATGAAAAGCTTTCGAGAGTTGCAAAAATTTGTTAATTCCACTTACATAAAATATACAAAAAGTGTAAATCTTAATTACACTAATCTACAATTTATAGCACAATTGTTTTTGGAATTTTTACAGTAACATTTTTACTTTAAGCAATTTTATCTTTTTTATTATTTAAAAATCGATGTCAACAATTATCTGACATTGTCGAAGGTTGTCGGGAGTTTATGTTGTTAATAAGATTAAAAATTCTTCAAAGTTGTTATCAAAATCATTACTGATCATTATCGGAGTATAAGGCTACTTTCGGTTTTTGAACCTTCTTGTAAGCAAGTACGGCCGTGGCGTTATGAACTTTTGTGTGCATAATTTTGCAATAGTGTAAAAGACAACTTTTATTAGAACATCTAGACGAATTTTATATCCCATAGCGTAGATGGGAGATACGATTTCTGATTTACCATAGCAAGGGTTTTCTCTACTTCGAATGATCATTGCACATAAAGTTTAATTTAACGTAATTTATTGATTGTAATCGAAAATCACGAACTGAAATCTCAGCTGACAGTCCATTTTTTTAAATAGCAAAAAAAAAACAATTTTTTTCCTTCAATATTTTTCGTGCACCTTTATACGTGGACATATATAAGCCTCTCTTATTGAGTCCAGGTAATCTCACAAAAAAGCATCGCAAATCCCTGGGATTGTGAAATTATTAAATTGTAGGCGGACTTTTATTTTTGTTAAAGATATTTATAAAAAAAATTAAGTTTTTCGCAAATGTTGAGGACAAATGGCGAGGAACTTATGAAAACATACACTGTCACAGAAAATTTGCGCATTTTTTAGTCTTTTTTTATAGAAAATACAAGAAATATTAAGATTTTAAGCAACAAATTCGTTTAGATTAAGTTACAAGCCGTCTTCTGAAGGGTCTGATTGATATCATCTTGTAATATTGTGTAGCAAATCTGGCCTTTAACCTTATTAAAAAACTCGAAATGATTTTCTGAAACATTTATCCTTCTTACCATAAGCCTTCTTTTATTCGCTTTGACAATCGTTTACTCAACACAAGCTTTCAAATGGAAGTAAACTTTTTAAAAAAAAAAAAGAAGAGAACTCCATCTAATCTTGTTTCGAGTGATAAACTCAACTTACAACGTAAATGGACTTTATGTAAACAATGAAAATTTCGCAACCCTAAGCTTACGTTTTTAATCAAAATAAAAAAATTGCAATATTGAAAAGAGGGATGGAGGCATAGACACTCTCTGATGAGAGAGAGAGAGAGAGAGAGGGAAAAGTGCTCGTTAGAAAAAGTAGTTATTTTCATACATTTTCATACTATATTGTTGTCCGTAAAGAGAGAAAAATTAATTGAAGTCAAAGAAGAAAAAAATTTGAGCCGAATTTTTTAATGCCTACCTGTGTGATGTTTTGGAAAAATTGCATGCATTGTGATCATAACCCAGATATAGTTAAAATGAATGAAAACATAAAGATTAGAAATTTCATTTATTAGTTATAAGTAATCAGGCATCCAAAGCATTGTTTTATATAATAATATAATAAAAGAAAATTTTTATCACAATTATATAGAAACATTCGGACTCTAAAGCTTGAACATATATATATATATATATATTGAATGGGGAAAGATTGAGGAAGACAACGTAGTAATTTTCGCGATTTTATATAAGTCTGTCTGAGTGTTAACTATGCAGACGTTTCATTAAGTAGTCTTGGTCATCATGGATAGCACAATCGATTTATCGATAAATGTTCAGCAGGCTTTGCATTTCTTATTTCGAATATTACGATATTAAACTAAAGGTCTTAAAGAAATTTTGCGTCAACTTTTCTTTTTATTATCCCAAGTTTCCCAAGTTAAGCTTTTAAATTTAAAGACTGACAAAGTCGTTTAGCAAAAAAAAGGGGGTGATTTTCTTCTTCCAAATATTTCGATTCAGAACTATCTTATAATATCAAGGTGAAATTATAAATTTCAGTGAAATCTTTGGTTTTTGGTTTAAGTAATAATCCCTATTTTCAGAGCCCGTGTTCCTATCTTGTCAGTTCTCTGCATTCTTTTATGTACAATCTCTCTGCTAAGCATCGATTTACTTGACATCAACAGCGGCTGATAAATAAACAATCAAAACTTCTACAATGGAATCTCGCAATTCGATCGGCTCCCATCCCTCCTCGTCTTCACTAATTTTTCTCATTTTAAATCCATCCCCGAAGGCTGAGGTGAACATTCATTTTCTCAAAACATTTGCAACTCCTAGGAGAAAACTTTAGAAATCTCATAATGTATTTATATTATATTTTTGATCATCATTTTGGCATCAGCTTAAATCAACTTAAGCATGTCCGTCCGTCCATCTACCTAAGGTCTGTTGTAAGCATTCCCCTGACGGCAAGAAAGAAGCAATCGACTTCAAATTTGGCAGAAACATTGAATATTTTTGTGCGCAGGTCGTTATTGAAAATGGGCCAAATTGATCGAACGACACACCTACAGTGTCACTTAAATTAAGAACACTTCTCTTTTTCAATAGGAACAAAAACTTGGTTTGTCGACCATTACTCATAAACTGCAGCAAATAAATCTACAAAAATTTGTTCGCATATTCTGTGAATTATGCCGTAGTAGCTGTACAAAGATGGGAAGTGTAGACCACGCCCACCCATTATTATGGGTTATGAAAATTGACTTTTTTTCACGCTGAAGCAAGCTTGAAAAACCCCATAAAGTATAAAAATTCTTGGCCAGTTTCCAAATTGGGATGTACCTAAGCGTAGGCATCTGTTCGACCGTTCATCGGGCCATCTTTGAGGAAAACATTCTCTCGTCCGCAAAAATGAATCGTATAACTTACAAATTTGTGAAAGAATTTGAAAATGACTTAAAGCGGACGAAGGACACGCCCACACGTCATTATGCAACAAAAATTGTAAACCTCTTTATTTTTCGGGTCCAAGCCCATACTCACACATATAAATTCCCACTTTTATTCTGAAAAAAAGGCAGGATTAACCGCACCCGGATAGAGTAAGAAAATTTAGTTCCTTTCCATTCTTGGTAGGCATAAAAGATTCGGACAAGGCAGTATATAAGTTTCTTACTTGTATTTTGGCCTTTCGAAGTGAAAAACTGAAATATCTTTAAAAAATAATTTCCTTCCGTTCACCGGTGATGCACAAGTCATCTTCTTTTCTTTTTTTTTATATACGCGGAAAACAAACTTAAATCGTCAACGAGTTTTATGTTGTTAAAGGAATAAATTTATTGTATAGTAGTTCTGTGCGTTACAAAAGTAGTGAAAAACTTAATTAGTTGCCGATGATGACAAAAATTATTGATGATGAACAAAAATGATTGCTTCTACTTTTGTTGTTGCTTTTGCAATTGTTGAAAATTACATATGTTGTTATTGTTTTGTGTTTGCGTTATTGTCATTATTGTTGTTTTTATTTTTTATTTTTTTTTTTTTTTATATATGTGCGGTCGATCCATTCATTGTTGACGCAGTCGTTCGTCGTTGGTTGTCCCTTGTCGGCATAATATCTTACAACTGTTTTATATACTTCAGCACTACTACTTTTATTACTACTACCAATGCATAGAATAAAAGTCATGAGTGTAACTATACTGCAACTATATGCAATGATTGTACGAGAGACCAAGCCCAAAAAACTAAAAAATTCAGTCAAGCATTTCATATGCAACTAAGCATAAATCAAGGGAAGAAGAGAGAAGGAATAGAGTGAGAAAAAAAAAAGGAAATAAGAAGAAAAGTTTGCTAAATATTAATTAATATTAAATAAGAATAAAATAATAAAAATAAAAAAGCGAAATGCAATCCAATTAAGTGCACATAAAATGAAATAAAATAAAATGTTAATGCAAAGTGTTAAAAAAAGTGAATAAATTAAACTATACACGAAAAGCAAAAACGAACTTCTCTTCTTTTCATAAAAAATTCTCTCATATCTCTCCCTTATTCTCTTTTCTTTTTTTTTTTGTATTTATTTGTATTTTGTTTTTGTTTTTTCTCTTTACCCATCAACTCCTTGAGGAAGAAGTCAAAAGAGTTTTGAAAAGAAAAGCTGTCAGCTGTCATCATCAATATCGTCATATGTGCGTGCGGTGTGTGTATGGTGGTGTCATTGCAGTTGTTCTTGTTATTGTTGGTTTTTTTTTTCTTTCGTTTCTTTATTACTAATGCGTTATATTCGTGTGTGTCCGTAACCATCATAAAATAAAAATTGAAAGAAAAAAAAAAGAAAAAAACGCCGTGATTTGATTTTTCTGTAAGTTTTACGTAGAAAATATAAACACACTACACATACACACGCATACACGCAAGAAGAGATATTCGCTCTTACTTCTTATGATATTCACTCGCTTTTTGCTTCACATATGTAAATAAAATTACGATTTATGTTTGCTTTTTTTTTTTTTTTTCTCAAATTCATTCATCTACAGTGTTAGTAAAACATATATAAATATATATATATATATGTATATATATACAACCACAAGAATAGTAGTAATTATAATAATAAACAACAACACCAAATTATAACATTTAAAAAACAAAAAAAAAAAAAAAAACAAAAAAAATAGGAAAAATAATAATTATAAATATTAAAAGCAAAAAAAAAAAAAAAAAAAAAAAGGTTTGAAGGAAAAAAAAATTGTAATAATAAAATTATAATAATTTAGAAAAAAATATATATAAACAAAGTAAAGAAAAATAATGACAACCGAAGAATTAAAAGTGGTTTTAAGACGCAGCGAACATTCCGGTTTTGGTTTTTCTTTGCTGGGCACAACCGGCCCGCCACATGTTATCTACGATATTGTAGAAAATTCACCGGCCGCCGACTGTGGTGCGGTAAGTAATTAAAATTTTTCCATTTAATTAATATATTTAGGTAATTAAAAAAGATGCATTTGCTTGCTCTCTTATCCGTTAATCTTATCTATCGGTTTTCTTTTTTTTAATTAGCACAATTTTTTATAAAATGTAAAGGCCGTCCGTCTTAGTAAAATTTATGCAATTAGCTCCGGACAATTTTCTTCCCATCAATCACTTACTATAAGTGAACGTTATTAAGATTCGGTAAAAATCTTTCATTAAATACCCTATTCTACTATATCGCTTTACATAATTATTTATAAAGCGATTTTTCAAGATAAAATTTTATATCGGAAGGGGTTGAAAAGTTGCACCGATTTGAAGCACTTCCAAAAGTACTCATCCTTGCAAAAATTACGATCTGTAGATTAAAGAAAGCAACATGGATGGACAGTCAGACAACGTTAATAAAATGTGCATCGTATCTCAAGTTTTTCTGAGTGCTGTCTATATCGGTGTAAACAACAAGATGTATAGGCCAGCGACGTGCTTTACATCACTTCGTCTAGTCTTTTACAATATCAAGGCTTACTTTTCATTGGAGCCCCTACGTGAGAAGAGTTTCTAAAACATTATATAACAGGAGGTTGAAAAAGTTGGGTCATTCGATTCAAGTTTTTTACGTGATTGCCGAATCACTATTACTTAACGATTTTTCTCGAGAAATTTATGGAAATATCAAAATTTTTTTCATCAAAGGACTTTTTCAAAAATAAAACGGAGTGGTCTGAACCAATTAATTTTTAATGGGGGCACGTCTTTGTGTCAAAAGACGTCAGTGCACGGAAATTAATCAAAATATCTCAAAAATTCCGGTCTTTAGTTTTAAATAACTCAAGAAAATAGGATAGACGGACGGATAGACAAGCTTGTACTGAATCACGTTTTATATCGATCGGTATATAATAAAAAGATACTAATCTATCTCAATTTCTTCAGATTACATACATCCGCACAAGCTTAATGTACCCTTTTATCAAAAGAAGTGTAGGTTATAAAAATGTCTTAATAAGATATTTGGGAAAGAGTGTGAAGATAAATTCACATTTAGTTAGCAAAGACATCTACCTCATCCCTTAACACAATCATGTAAAGGTCGGAACAGAACTCTGCTAAATATTTAAAATTAACATATAGTTGGATTTGGAAGCCTACTGCGTCCATTTAAAAAAAGGGAAAATGTTTTTGTGGACATAGCATAAAACTATATGAAGATACCTCTGTTGGGGCGTTTACAGAGCTCTGTTAAGGAATATGTTAAGTTCATTTATCTTCACATCCTTTAGACTTGAAAACATATATTGATACGATTGGGCAGGTTGGGCATGAAAATGCATTAACTGTCGCGAAAGTGAAAGTCGCCATGAGAAACTTACCACATAGCCGTTAGGCATTGTCCACGAGTTTTCAATATGCAGTGAATTGCATTGATGCGTTTGTGTGTTGTGTGTGGCAATGGCCGGGAGAAAAGAAATTTCGTAAAGGTAAAGCTATTGAAACTTGCTGGGATAGGAAACGAATGAAAGGTCAAACGCAAAATAATTAAAGCAAGGGTCTTAATATTTGCCGAATGCGATTATTTAAACCCGGTATCAGCTGATAATATTTCTTCGCTTTGGGATCTTTATTTTCTTTGCCTATTTTCTTGACTTTCTTTGCTTCCTCTTTTTTTTTTTTTTTTTTTTTTAATGACTCCATTGCGCGTGTGGTTTTTTTTTAAGATGATTTTCCACTTTCTATTGTGTCTTAGTAAAAAGAAAGAAAAGAAAAAAAAAAGTATGAAAAACAATTTCAAGAGTTCAATGTACAGGAGGAATTTTTTTTTTTTATAAAAATTATTTAGTAATATAATTGAATGTATTTTATTGCAGATTTCTTAAACATCGGTCAGGGAAATGGAAAGATTATTTCCTAAAGCAAGGGATTGGCTTTATGCAATTAAACAAAAGATTTTTTTATTTTTTTTTAAATACAATCAATCACTTAACTTAAGGGTTGTCCCATGAGCTGGGTGAGGGTTAAAATGACCTCAGGAAGATGGGCTGAGGAAAAAGATAGGGAGGCTGTAAATGGAAAAAAGGCGGTAAAATGGAAAAAATCTCGCCACGCCCACACAAACTTACAAGAGATTAAATCTTATTTTTCTCACTTTTTTGAGGTTCTATGCGTATTTATCGTAAGGCAACCAAGACCGAAATATATTTTGTACACTCCTCAAATAAAGATATATATTGTCTGCCTAAAAATGGGTTCATTTAATTTAAAATGAACATATCAGACACCGCGATCTGATGGATTAGTTTTCTCTTAATAGTTCAAGCGATATGGGTATCGGATAAAAGAACACATAGCGATGGGTATGCGAGAATCGCCCCAAACCGAATCTGTTTTAATGACAAACTTTCAGAGATTTTTTGAGACACTGACGTGCCTTAAAAGCTACTGAAAATGATTCGGTTAGCTGGTCCATTTTTTTGATCACTCTCCCTATAATCGTTATTTTGAAAAATCGTTATATGAATAACTGTACTAAGCAAAGTGTTGTAGGGTATTTAATTAATGGTCCGCTGTGGTCCACCCAAGTGCTTTTACTTGTTGTTTTTTTTTTTTTTGTGCTACGAACACTTTTCAAAGATTAGTGAGTTGGCTGCACTTTTACAAGCTTCTACTTAAGTCGCTTTCGTCTAAGTGAAATCTCTACCAATGAATTTTAATTAGTTGCGCTGTAGTTTTTTAGTACACATACGGATGTCTGCATATGAATTTTCCGCCATGTTGAAGATGGTATGAGTAAATTAGCAATGTTTGCCTTAAATTATAGATGCTTTTGTTTTCATAGTGTCGAAGAAAAGTGTCGAAGACACTTGAAGAAGATGGTGAGAATATTCTTAGTTGACCGGGACAAAGGACAAATTCGAAAGTTTCTAACCAATAGTTAGAGTACTTTAAACTGATTGCGTCGCTATCCTATATCTATAAGGATCTATATTAGAACAACTGCGAATGTGGTTGTCATGGCGGAAAAGAGGCCTTTTCCGTCCAGAAATGAATCCTTCGCAAGCCCATGCTTTTAATATTGCGTATAATCTCACTACGTCTTCAACTTTGCCGGCCCGCGCACCAGCCAAGCCATGCTGCACCGATCTGAACATGTGCCAATCACAAGGGGCCATGTCTGATGAGTACACTGAGTATGGCAGAACTTCCCATTCAAATTGTGTATCCTGGACAACTCGAATGGACGGACAAACGAAGGCGACTGGACTCACATTTGGGCATTACCTCATTCCTAATGAGTATTTCTTGCTGTTATAAGCAAGAGCACTAACCTAACTAATGCTCGCTTTCATGCCTTATAATTGCCTATAAAAATGTGAATTTTATTTATGTTCATTTAAGATAATTGGTATCAAAGATTATTATATCCTAAAGCACTTGTCGTGCACAAGCATGTGTGGATGATTGCTACAATCAGACCATCTTTCATTATTTCAGCATTTTTTGTATCGATTTTTTTGTCCGTCTATCGGTCTCTTTGAAAAAGATTTGGCTCGGCCCACTTTAACGACCACTTCTCACATAACGTCTTATTATATAATCAATAAATATAGACTAGTAAAGGGTATTTAATGGTGGGCCGTGTCCGGCTATAGCGATATCTTTACCTTATAGCGATCATTTTTTATATTGATTTTGTCTGTCCGTCTGCCGGTGTCTTTTATTTTTGAAACTTGATACGCAGACTATTGAAAGTGGTTCGCCTCGGCCCACTTTTTCGACGACTTCTCACCTAACCTCCTGTTGTGGAAAGTCGTAAAGTAAATAAGTACGAAATGATATTAAGTATTTAATGGTGGGCCGTGCCCAGCTATAGTGGTATCTTTCATTATAGCGATCATTTTTTATATTGATTTCGTTTGTCCGTTTGTCGGTCGTTCTTGTTATCGAAATTTGGCACATTTTGCCCACTTTTACAACCACTTCTCACATAACGTCTCATTTTGGAAAGTCGTGATGCGAATAAATATAAAGCGGCGTAGGGTACTTACTCTACTTGATTTTACATGTTTTTATTTATTCTTTTTTTATGAAACTAAATCTGCAAAAACTCGATTAATATTAAAATTTTATTTTTAGTGAAACTCACGTTCTTCCTAATTATTCACAAATATTATATATATATATATATATATGTATATATATAAACGTATATGAACATAGCTGTAGCACAGCAAAACTAATCGACATCGCTTGTATACGGAAGTGATCAAATGCTTAAAAAACAAAAATTTTTCATTAATTCTGAAGGAGTTCATAATACAGCTTTTTTCGTTTGTCAATTGGGAGACAAGAGAAGTGAAAAAGAAATTTTTGTAAATCCACATAAAAATTGTATTTGTATTGCTTTATAATAATGCCGTTCAACAAAAAAAAACAAAAAAAAAAAAAAAAAAAAAAATAAAGAAAGAAAGAAAGAAAGAAAGAAAAGAAAAGAAAAAAGGAAATGCAATGTTATGGAACGTGGAGTGCAAAAAGAAAAAAAAAAAAAAAAAGGGGGAAAAACGAACAAACACAGTCTACAAAACAAAAATGCTCAGGTAAAACAACAACAAACGGAATTACATTTTCATAAACATATTTCACGTCTGTGCATGCATAAAATTTGTTATTGTTGAGGCACTGAAATAACTTTAGTGGGCGAATAAGGACAGCTTTTCGAAAAAAAAGAAAATAACAAAGTAAGAAGAAAAAAAATTTTGCTTAGATTTGAAACGATTTTTGAATACCCATCATCCACTCACCCACTTCAAGCAAATACATGCGGACGTTGCGAATTATTTTCGTCATTATTTTCGATGTACGAGTAATCTTGGCATCTACAATTTTCTAACAAAATTTCTGAGCAGAATATATTCCTTTTACATATACGTACACATATGTTTATGAATATATTAGGTTGGCGGGAATGTTTTGTC